GTGAGCCTAATATTGTTCCAATGGCAGTTTTCCTAATCTTGGGCCAAGAACCTAGCAAGAAATGGACAACTTCTTGAATGCTGAAATTGAAAATCCCAAAATATAGGTTCAAATGCTAGAGAGGTTTAGTTTTTCTTGGCCTTTTTTGGTCTTGTGTTTTTTTAACTAGATAGCGTAAGGGAAGTTTGGTTTAGCAGGTGAGCTTTTGTTTAACACTGAAGTCATAGTTCCATTTGTAAAAACGAAAACAGAACTTACAACATTACTGAAAGGGCCTTTAGCTCTTGAAGCATTGAGAAAACACTTCATTCAGTTAAATTGCTTTACTATTAAAAAAAAATACACGAAAGCAGAAAGTTTTTTCCCTTTCATATTACAACAGAATACCTTTGATTAATAAAAACAAAATCAAACAAATCAAAAAAATTGAAATCGATATTTGGTATCTAAACTAAAAATACTTACAGACCCATGTAAAAAAAATCCTGATTTTATTTAGAACAAAGTCTATATTAGTATTCTATAATACATATATCATTTTAAAACACCAGAGAAGGGATGTGGAGTTGATAACCTTACTCCAGAACGGCTAGATGATTCTTTAAATCCAGGATATATCTTTTTTTTTCTTTATAAATATTCTGTGATTCAGCAGCATCAAGGCAAAGAAAATTAAACTTAGCAGAGAGAGGTCATTGTACACTCAAGCTCCGTGGAGCAGAATAGGGCTAACTTCTGGAAACTGGTGGAATGAGGACATAGCAAGGTAAGGAGGCTCCTGGGAAAGCAGTGCTTACTTTCAGACCCACCTGGTTCAGTAAGAACCTTGAGGGGAAGAGGAACACCTTGTTTGACTGAGTGTTTCCAGCCTTAGCTAAGTGTCTACCATACAGCAGGGATTAAAAAGGATGATGGATAAGTGATGGGAAAAATAGTAGCTGAGATCATAGGTGACACAGACAGCCTGGTTTAATGAAAAGAGCCTGAGCTATGATGCCAGGCAGGTCTGAGCTTGAATTCTAGCTCTGCTGCCCCCTTTCCTGAATGACCTGATAACTGTTATCTTACCTCTGAGAATAGGGCTTCTCTGTTGTAAAACGGCAATACTTACTGTTGGGATTTCAGGGAGCCAAGACAAACTTTTCATCCCTGAGTTCTGAACAGGCTGTGAGAATGACGGCAGTTGAAATATCAGCTTAATTACTGATAAAGGTAGCTGGAAGTAAGGCTTAAATCTGTGGCCAAGTGGTCTTATTAAGAATCTCGTCCTAAATCCGTGAAAATATAAAGAGTGGGAATGTGACTCCCTTCAACGTGTCCCCTCCTCGGGGCTTGGGATGAATGATTTCATTTCGGTAAGCCATCAGTTAAGTCGTAGCTTTCGCTCCTCTCTCTCGATCAGAGTTTAAATATTCTGTAAATCTGCTGCAATGGGCATAAAGACTGAATTAGGTAGGACTATGGGGCCAAAACAAGAGCACCTCCTCGTGGTCTGTTCTGGCCCCTCAACCAGCAGCTCTTTATGACCAGGCAGGAAAGGGCTCTCTTAATGCTGGGACCAAGTAGGAAAGGGATTGTTGCCAGCAAATGTTTGGGAAACACATCTGAGGAGAGAATGGGTTCCTAGGAATAAGGCCAGACTGAATCCTTCCTGAGCTACATTTTTAGCAGTTTTATCTGCTAGACAGACTTAGGCTCTGGTGATTTCCTTATGTTAAGTGTCAAGGAGAAGAAGTCCAGAGAAAAATGGCGCCATCTAAAAGAGGCCGACCTGTGTCATGTGAGAGTCGGCGACTTACTTTAACTACTTTGAAAAGTTTATAAAATTCCTAAAACCTTGGTACCTCCACCCTTCTTTGCTATTTTTATTACCGTCTGTCTGCTCTCCTATTATGATTAGCCAGGAAGCTCTTAAAATGGAAAGGACTTGTGTGCGTATCTTCAGTGGCAACAAAGAAAACAGCAGTGACGTGCCGAGTGAGTGAGGAACCCAGGAAGGGAGAGAGGGTTGCAGCATCCTGTAGGTGGCATCTCAGGAGTTTGGGAAGGAAAAAAAGTGATGGAGTGGTGGGGTGGAGAGGGAAGTAAGGGCATTTAGGGAGGCGATCCAGGATAGAGACATTACCCTCTGCTCCTAACAAGCAAGAGACCCACGTACAGGTTTCTTGAATGTACTGCACTATACTTAATGCTTATAACAGCCAATACATTTTTTTAAAGTTTCCTAATTTAAAAATAACACTAGGAACCTTTTTTTTTAGCAAGTTATCTCAACATTGCAGATATTTTAATTTGGATAAGATTCTTGAATCAAGTGAATTGAATAATGTAAAAATTAATGCACAAATCTTAGATATTAGAAAGCGAAAAGGATTTGTGAGTTGTTTGATAATATTCCCATATACATTAGCTTTTCCTGGATCATTTGACTGCCAGTATTTCATCTTAAGAGGGGGCAATTAAGAATGGGAAAACATCCCCCCCCCACCCCACCCCAGGCTTAGAATCCACTAAAACCTGTGGGATGAACATTTTACCCAAATATAGACCTTTTACTGATTAAGTTAATTTACTCTGTTCAAACTGTGACATCCTGTTTATAAGAAAGAAGACTTATAAAAAGCCATCTTGAGCATGAACTAACTTCTAAAATCAACATTTTGGTGAACTTATGTGTTAAGTGAGTCACAACTATTTGGATGAAGATTTTTGGTTTTGAAAGAGAAAGTACTTGGGGGAAAAATGTCATTTTGGTTTCATTGAAATGGAAACATTTAAAAAATGGAATTTGCTAGTGAGCCTATCATATAACAAGTTTCCACACACATTTCTTAAGTCACTTCTGTGAATTTGCAGAGCTGCATCCCCCGTGGGCCAAGTCTTAACCACCAAAAGATGCATTTAGCTTTTATAATCCTTCCCAGAAATGATATTTTTTAAAATGCTGCACAAGGTAAAAAAATTTTTATAATTATTTTGAAGGTAATATTGACTCTGTGAACTGAATCTTGAAAATTACTATTTGTCCCAAAAGCAAGCTGAACTTGTGTCTACTCATATTATTTGCCTGATATAAAAAATGTTCTCTTTTTACTCTGACCCTTTTAATATTTGAAAATGTCACTGTGGGCAACGCGTCTTATAATTTATAGAGAGTAATGTTACATTCAGAATTTTATGTTTGGTTTTTAATGTGTACTTGCTACTTACTAGCTGTTCTGGCTGTACAGGTTGAATTTTTTGAACTGAGTATACCCACAGCCCCTGTTTAAGCATCCCCGGTCTCAGTGCTTTTGATCCTAAAATTCTTATCTCCTGGCTCTGCTCCTTTAAGTGTCACTTTTGTATTTAAGGTTCCTATTGGGTATCTTGCCTGTGGGTATCTCGAGCAGTGCCAATTTATCACGTCCCAGTTTGATTACTTTTCCTTTTTTTGGCCACTGTTCCTTCCCCTGTGTTTCCTTGTTCAGTTCCGGGCACCATCTCCCCATTGAGGGTCTCTGGTCTCTGGTCGTTCTGGAGCCCTTCCTTATCCTTATCACACCAACTAAGGGGTCATCAGCCCCTGACAATTCTGCCCCTAAAAAGTCTCTTCTTTTCATTCCAGCCTAACTCAGGCACAGTAATTCCTTAGTGAGTTCAGAACAAAAGTTTCTCGTGGGTCTTTCCCCGTCAGTCCTCCACTCTCTGCCGCTAGATCTTTCTGGGCATATAGTCCAACACGGACATACTCCGCTTTGCTGTAGAAACAAGCCTTTACAACCTGACACAACTTACTTTTTCCAGATTCCTCTCTTCTACCTGTCTGCTCCCTTGGCCCTCTTCCATATGTAGCTTTAGCCAATACTGAAAGTCCTTTGAATATACCATGTATTTTCACACTGAACTTTTCTGTTTTGATCCTCATTATTTGACCGACCTTCTGTCTTCTCATCTTCACCCTTCCAGAAGTAAAAATCATTTCTTCTGTGTCCTCTCACAGTACTTTTTGTTCTTCTTTGACCATCACTCGGTATACCGCGTTATGGTTCATCGTCTATGTGAAGCTTCCTCAGGCTAAATTATGAATTTTTCCAGAGAGAGACTTGCTTCCCTCTCTTGTGGAAAAAAAAAAGAAACTCTTCCAGTGTTTGAAACTTAATAGCCCGATTAATATGTGCAAAGTTGGGATGTACTGAAATGGATTCAGATTCTCATAGATGCAGTTACTGTACCAAATAAATGGAGAAGTAACGAAGATTAAAGCAAAAGAACTTCTTTGCCAATTTTTTCTTGAGAGCTAGGGATTTAAATGTATGGCAAGCATAGGAATTCCTTTGAAAAGTCAGCGAATAATGAATGGCGGTATCACCTGCAAGCTACTATTTGTTCAAATTAGATCCACCAAGGCATTGTCTCTGGCATTTGTTATCAATTCATTGTATTGATGATTTTAAAACAAGAACTACTTTCTGTCCAGGCTGACTTTGAATTGATGATTGGTTTGCATGTATTGATTGGTTAGCATGAATTGATGGGCAGTGAGATAAAGGTACTAAGTTAAATGCACATGAAAAAAAGCATCGTCTCTGTCTCCTATTTGTTGCAATAGAGTAGAAAGAGAAACTGATACACATGGAATAATTAAGTGCTAGACTAGTTGAGATTGATTATAATAAACAAAAATGAAATTTGGGCAGTGAAAAATTATTATGACTTGGAGAGGTAATGAGAGGGCTCATTAAGAACTTACTTATACCTGAAACTAATATAGTATTATAAATCAACTATACTTCAATAGGAAAAAGAATTTATTTACTGGTTCTTGAAAAATAGGATTTTTAAAGGATTGCATGAGCGAAAACAAGGAATTCCATATGAAGAAACTGACATGGATCAACTGACAAGAAGCTTTCTATGTCTGAAAGGCCAAAATTCAGTTGATAATTTTAGCAGTAATCTATGTTGTTTACTCTTATGAATATGAAGTCATTCTCTTCTACTTTGTTTTTCTCTTACAGGTGGATCGGATATTGAGTATCTAGACTTCTATAAGCCTGTCGTGTGGTTCTGGATCCTGGTAGGACTTGCTTACTTTGCTGCTGTCCTGAGCATGATTGGAGACTGGCTCCGAGTGATATCAAAAAAGACAAAAGAAGAGGTGAGAACTAAGAAGTGTGCAAAGACAGTCTTACTTAGCTAATTCAGTAAAGATTATTTTTAGTGTTTTTTACATTTGTTTTTTTAAGTATTTAAACATTAAGATTTTTAATATTTATGTTTGCTGTGAATTTGCTATATGAGGCTATCAAATGAGTTAAAATTCATTCACTTAACAAAGACTTTCTAAACACCTCTACATGCCAGATGATACCTTGGTGCTGAGGGTAACTTGTAATGAAGAAAGACGTAATTAAAAATATATTCTTACTTCTTTTTCTTTTTTCTTTTATTTCTTTATTACCTCCAGGATACAGGGTAAATTTTATTCCATAAAGAAACAGACAATAGAATATTTGTGTCAGAATATCAGTAGCATGAAAAAAAGAACGTATTATTTATCATATTGAATTTTTAAATTGTGTTCAATAATGTCCTTTCTTCATCTATCTATATAAGTGTGTGCAAGTGCCCACGTATGCACATGCGTAGTTCCCCCAAAGCCATGTGTGTTACGACTAATTTCCCTGTGTACACATTTCAGCTCTTCAAAACGATATTCTTTTATCTGTTTTGTACAGTTGTATATACAGAAATGAACATTAGAATTTTGACTCATGCAATTTTGGAAAATTTGAAATTTAAATCTTGATTTTTCAAATTTCCTAGTTTGGAAATTGAATTTTGATTTTATAATGACGGGTCCAAAAGTACTATTAGTTTGAGTGTGTTGTATTATGAATTCTGTATTTTTTTGCTTCTGAGTCTTAGCCAACGTAGTGATTTTTTTCAGAGCACAGCAAATCTGTAAGGCCTGCAGCTGTAGTACCCTGTCTCCCTTTACCTACCCCTTCATTTCATTATGTGTTGTTCATAGGCCAAGAGACACCAGTGTCGAAATCTTTGATACAACAAGCACGAGTCTTTAAACATACACCCAAAAGGAACAGAATGAGATAGGAAATGTTCTCTCTATAAACATTTTCTTTGAAACTCATCAAGTCATATAATTTCTTATTAATACCCAAGGTGCCTATAGTAATTAAAAGGAGTATAAATTTTTCCAACATTTCCTCTCACAGATACCATATTTCTCAACTGGTAATTCATATATTCAGTCTGTATGTATTAATCTATATCTTAGTTATACTGTAAAGCCAATAATTTAATATAAACAGATGAGCAAGACAGTATGCTTGACATTCTAGTTTAAATCATGTGAAAAGTTCTTCTCTGTATACGACCCCGACTGATTTCTCCCCAGTCTGTATTAGGTTCATTTTGTGTGTGTGTGAGAGAGAGAATGAATGAATTATGGTTATTTTAATTTAAGTGTCTTTTAAGGATCTTAAGAAACTAAGGGAAAAGGGAAAATTGTAACTAGGAAGTATTTTGCATAGCAGAGCTAAAAAGAGAACTTCTCAAACTTCTCATCGTAAACTGGCTTTCAAATGCATTTTAAAAACACACACATTTATTTTTTTAAATAAAATAGAATTGAACAGAACCAATCTCCTATAGTTACTTTTTAAAAAGTACTGTTTTGTGGAAATATATATTTATATATACACATGTATATGTATAATAAGCACACTATATATTATACACATACTTGTGTATACATACTAATATTATTATGGCTCACAGTCCAAAAGTTTGAAAGCCACCCAAGCACACAGAGACTAAGGGGGAATTTTTATCTTACACCATTTGTATAATTTGTATTTGATTAGAGGTGAAAAACCTGTATTATTAAAAACCAGTGCTTTTGTGGTAGGATGAGCTGGGAAAGCACTGGCACCTTTTCCCAGAGTAGTGAGATAATCATCTGCATTACTCTGCTTGAGCTGCCATAACAAAATAGACTGGGTAGCTTAACCAACAAGAATTTACTTGCTCACAATTCCAGAAGCTGAAAGTCCAATATTAAGGTACTGGTTTCTGGTGAGGTCTGTCTCTTTGGCTGGCAGACGGTGCCTTCTTGCTGTGTCCTCACAAGGCCTTGTCTCTGTGCCCGTGCCTGGACAGAGGGGGTGGGCCTTTGGTGGCTATTCCTCTTATAGGGACACCAGTCCTATCGGATTAGGGCTCCACCCTTATGACCTCATTTAACCTTAATTACTTCCTTTAAGGGTCTGTTTCCAAATATAATCACATTGAGGGTTAGGGCTTCAGCATAAGACTTTTTGCAGGACCCAAAAGTCAGGCTATAATACAATCCTTTGAAATAAATTTACATTTCTACATTAATTGGCTTATTTAATATGAAAAATAAGTCTGTTTGCCTGCTTATGAGTGATCTCCATGATTCTCAGCCAAAAGTATACTTTTGTGTTTTATGTGTTTTCAACACTGAAAAGTAGAGAGCTGTTTTCTTTTCTTACCATGAGTTTTTTGGTTTCTACCTAGCTTTCTGAGTGACATGTACTGTCTGGTGACTGCATCTGTGGAAAGCTCGTGTGAGTAGAGGCCATGAGCAAGTTTATGTGAACCCTCCGGAGCCGCAGCTGCTCCAGACAGTTGAGTCAGTTGCAATGGAACTGTCACTTGGAGCAGATGTGTGTTTTATAATTTATAATAATGCAATTTATGGAAATGAAAAAATTGGATTGCAAATTCAACAGAGAATATGAAGAAAGAAAGGGAAAGACGATTTATAATTTATCTATAGATGATCAAGGCCAAAGTTTTTATGGATGAAATACTACTACTCATTTCTACAGTAATGGAAAAAAGATTATTTGATAATTTTAGTTTTGAAATAACTCACTAAAGGACATGATTAAATAGAAACCAACTAAATACATTCTGGTTGTCATCTTTACACACATGAACCATGCTAGGTGACTGTTCACTATCTATTCCTTATCTTCTGTACCTAAATGATTCCAGATACTTCCACTTTTAAAACCTACCAAAATGTTCAGAAACAATAAGGATATTTCTAGATTTCAATTGCATAAAAATGCTATTTTTGATAACTTAGCATCCTCTCTATTAAAAATGTAATTAGTACAGAATATAAAAATATAAAATAATATATAGTATCAAATTTCTAAATAATAATACAAAAACACATGCTTTCCCCAAATGAAAAGATTCTGGCTAATAGTAAATCCTAAGCTTATATTATTTTTTTCAAAAACAAATCTTAAATCACATTGGTTAGGTATAAACATAGAGCTCTAATCATATGTGGCCTTATTTCTGTTTTTTAGGTTAAAGTATATTCTGTTTCCAATGAAAACTAACTTTAATGAAAATATTATGTTTAGAAGTAAGGAAAAATGGTTTTTTATGAGCATACTGAAATAAAACATGTTGGTATAGCTAATCCATCTGAAGTATTTGAAAGGAAATGGCTAGTTGGAGCACTGCATAGTCTCAGAAGTGTCACATATAATTATAGTTGATCTGCATTCCTCAAAAAAAAATAATGATCTCAATAATTTTTCCATGGAGGCATATGAGTTTCTGTAGAAGTGTGTATTTGTCTCATTATTTTTTAAGCTCTAATGGAGAGTAACACATGTTCAACCAGAAGAAGTGGTATGACTAGACTGTCTATGAAGCCATATACCCTCTTCTGAGGAAATAATATTTCCATTTAGAGAATAAAGATTATCTCTATATTCTGGATAATACAATAATACTGATACCAGGAGGAATAAAAATAAGATTTGACCACAAAATTGAGAAGGTAAATTCATAAACAAGTAGTGCATTCTTATCACGTGCAGACGTAGTTCTGTTTGCTACTGTTGACATTCCTTGAGTTTGAAAGACCTGTGATTTCTATATAGTTCTGGTATCGATGTACACGTACTACAGTGTTTGGGGTGTTCCCAGCCGTATGTGAGACAAACACCGCCACAGCCCCTATGTCAGCATGCCAGTGTTCTCAGGCCACGTGGCACTACAACTAACCAACATCACTTCTTTACCAGATCATTTCTTTAGCCTGTGAAGCTATTCATGCAAATGAAGACACTCACTTTAGTAAGTTGGCTTTACATCATATTAAGGAAACTCCCTTTGATTGGGAAGCTCTAGGGCCGAGAGGCCTTGAAAGACTGTCCCTCAAACTTATTTTTGGCCCCAGAATTGCACAGGGACCTGAGGATGTGGAGGGACGTAATTTTTTTTTCTGCTGGTTACTTGGCAAGAGCATTTGGTCTTCTCTGAACTTTACTCTGTGTGGTGATACCTCCCTTTAGTGAAAGAGCTGGGAGTTGATGGCTCTTTATCTCGCCTGGAGATGGACAGTTAAAGAACAGTTGCATTCTGAGCCCTGGAAAGGCTTCAGTAGAGTATTTTATCATTATTTCTTATGGGAGATGGACTTTTAATATGAAAGGTTTTATATGCCCTTTGAAATAAAAATTAGACACTATTCTGAAAACCTTAGGGAGCTACTGAAGTATTTTAAATAAGTGGAACGAAATATCTTGTCAACAGTGAGGGAGATGGATGAGAAGCAAAGCTTGATGCTGTGCAGTCAGTTGGGAGAGATTATTACAGGAATCTAGGTAATACAGAATGAAGAATCTATGCTGGCAGGGGGATAGAGATGAAACCAGAGATTTCAAAGTTATTTTGGGGATAGAAGGAATCCTTTAGCTGTGGTCAGTAAAGAGAAGGGGAAGATGACATCCATGATTTTAGCTTTGGATGGGATAACAAAACACAGGAGAATGAGAGATTCTGAGTAGATGGAGGAGGAATGAGAATGTCATTTTGGATATATTGTGATTGATGGATGTGTTGGACATCCAGGTGGGTAATTCAAGTGTAGATATTTGGATATGCAAGCCTGGAATGTAGGAAGGATAGGAGCTGGAGAGAGTGGTGGTGGAGAGGGTGGTCATCACAACATAGACGACAGCGGAAGTTGTGAGTATAGATGAATTCACCTGATGAAGGAGAATAAAAATAAAAGAACAAATAGCAACGTAAGACTTAAATTATTCTTCAAGGCAATAGTAACTCTCACACACCAAT